CACATCTGCAGGAGGCTGACATCTGTCCCTTCTCCCTCCAGCACAGCCTGATGGCAGGGCTGGAAAATATTGAATATACTAAAACTCCATGGGTCTGCAAAATATTGAATATACTAAAGCCCATGGGTCTGCAAAATATTGAATGAACTAAACCTCCATGGGTCTGCAAAATATTGAATGTACTAAACCCCATGGGTCTGCAAAATATTGAATGTACTAAACCTCCATGGGTCTTCCAGGGCTGTAAAATATTGGATATACTAAACCTCCATCTGCAAAATATTGAATATAGTAAATTCCTGTGGGTCTGCCAGAGCTGTAAAATATTGAATATACTAAACCCCCGTGGGTCTGCAAAATATTTGATATACTAAACCTCCATGGGTCTGCCAGGGCTGTAAAATATTGAATATACTAAACTCCTTTGATATTAGAGAAATGTTGTGTGGGGGACAGAGTAATGTGTGGGTAGATGAGAATTTATCTTCAAGAGTAGTCTGCTGGGGCTGTAAAATATTGAATATACTTAACCCCTGTGGATCTGCCAAATATTGAATATACTAAACCCCCGTGGGTGTGCCAGGGCTGTAAAATATTGAGTATACTAAACCTCCATGGGTCTGCCAAGACTGTAAAATATTGACTATACTCAACCTCTGTGGGTGTTCCAGGGCTGTAATATACTGAATATACTAAACCCTCGTGGGTCTGCTGGGGCTGTAATATATTGAATATACTAAACCCTCGTGGGTCTGCTGGGGCTGTAATATATTGAATATACTTAACCCTTGTGGATCTCCAAAATATTGAATATACTCAACCCCTGTGGGTGTTCCAGAGCTGTAATATACTGAATATACTAAACCCTCGTGGATCTTCTGGGGCTGTGAAATACTGAATATACTCAACCTCTGTGGGTCTGCTGGGGCTGTAAAATATTGAATATATTCAACCCCTGTGGCTGTGCCAGGGCTGTAATATATTGAATATACTTAACCCTTGTGGATCTGCTGGGGCTGTGAAATATTGAATATACTCAACCCCTGTGGGTCTGCAAAATATTGAATATACTAAACCCCATGGGTTCTGTGAAATATTGAATATATTCAACCCCTGTGGGTCTGCAAAATATTGAATACACTCAACCTCTGTGGGTCTGCTGGGGCTGTAAAATATTGAATATACTCAAGCCCTGTGGGTCTGCTGGGGCTGTGAAATATTGAATATACTCAAGCCCTGTGGGTCTGCTGGGGCTGTAAAATATTGAATATACTCAACCCCTGTGGGTCTGCTGGGGCTGTGAAATATTGAATATACTCAACCTCTGTGGGTCTGCTGGGGCTGTGAAATATTGAATATACTCAAGCCCTGTGGGTCTGCTGGGGCTGTAATATACTGAGTATACTCAAGCCCTGTGGGTCTGCTGGGGCTGTAATATATTGAGTATACTCAAGCCCTGTGGGTCTGCTGTAAAATCCTGAATAAAGCTCTGTGGTCTGCTCCCTGGGGCTGTGTGACACCAGTGCCAGGGGAGCAGCCCCTGGGTGTGCTCAGAGCCTGCTGGAAATCCATCTGCGGCTCTCTGCTGCGCTCTGAGCACCCGGGGATGAATAAGCACTTTGAAGCAGTGATGTTCCTCGCCCTCAGAGCCTCTCCATCCGCCTGAGCTCTGCAGTGTTTGCTCCCTGCCTCCCTGGCAGGCAGCTCCGCTCAGTCTGCCCGGTGCCAGGCGCTCCGGGGAGCTGCGAGCAGCCTTGCTGCGGCTGCCTCACGGGCTCCAGGCTGATTTCCTGGGGCAAAGCAGGCCAGGAGGAGCGGCAGGGAGAAGCTGGGGGATGAACGGGGCATGGGATGAAGTCAGCGTGCTGCGCCAATCCGGGCAGGGCCACGCAGCTACGGATGCCTCTTGATGCTGGCACCGAGCGCACCTTTCTCCGGGGGTTTGGTGCCTCCAGCCCGAGCTGAGCGTGCACCGAGGAGTTGCTAGGTCAGGCCCAGTCGTTTGTGAGTGTTGTGTGAGGTGAGTGTGTCCAGGGGGAGGCAGCTGAGGAGCCTGCACCCCCTGTTCTGCGCCGCACCTGTCAGTGTACACGCTCCCTGGTATGGCTGTTCTGCACCAGCGCTGCTTCACCTGCCTGCCTGTCCCCCCTCACTCTGTTCTTTCCTCCCCACATCCATCCCCCTCGTGTCTGAGCACTCCTCCTGCAGCTGTGCACTGCCCAGAGCCCACCTGCTTCCTTCCCTTCCTCCTGACTCCTGACATGCCCGCCTGGGGGGCTGTGGTGTGTGACTCTCCCTTCCCGCAGGGTGAGAGGGAGGATGAGCAGCTGCAGGATGAGCTGGAGGATGAGCTGGAGGATGAGCTGGAGGATGAGCTGGGCTGTTCCCCTGCTCCCCGCAGAGCTCAGCCTGGAGAGGGAGCTGGGAGCAGGAGCAGGGTCCTCTGTGTCCCTCAGCATCCTGCTCGACCCTTGGGTGGAGGCAGCGGGGAGAGGAGTCGGGGGCATGGCAGTGACTCAGGTCTTGTGCCAGGCTCCAAACGAGCTCCTGACCTGGGGCCATCTGCTTGGGGTGCTTGTCCTGCCCTTCTCAGGGTGGGGGCAGAAGCTTGGGACCAACCCCTAAGCGACTTTCATTGTTCTCATCCTCCTGTCAAGTTGTTTGCCTGTTCTTCTTCATCCTCTTTTGACTTTCCCTTTCTCTNTAGGCCAAGCAGAAAGCATGGAGACGTCTGATATGGCGACAGCAAAGGTAGGATGGAAATGCTGCCGGCCTCACTGTGCGTAAGTGGTTTCGCTTGGCACCTTCTTACTCTGTCTCTCGACCCTTTCTCACTGCCCCTGGCCCACCCTCCCTGCTGGGATGAGCACGGGATTTAAGCCCTGGGAGGATGTTGCAGTGGTGAGGCTGAGGAAATGCTGGAGGTTGGGGGTGGCAGGGAGGGAAATTGGGGGTTGTGGTCCCTCCGTGGGATGTGAGGTGGGAGCAGGGATGCTGGCAGGGCTGGCTCGGCTGCTGGATGAGGCAGTGACACTAGATGGTGCTTTAGGGGCAGCTTTCCTCTCCCAGAGAAGGTTCTGTGAGGAGAAAATCCTTCTGGCAGCCTCTATACTATTTTTTTTTTTCTTTTTTTGTTTTTTGGAAAGGATGTTGGGGGAGTGTCAAGTGAGAAAGTAATTCGAGTTTATGGATGCATCCACCCTTTTCTGTGAGGCTTCTCTGTTGCCTGTGCTGGGCTTTCACAGGGCTGTGGGTTCTGCTTTCCTGTGGGCTGGAAATCTGGGAGTGGAGCTGGGTGGATCCAGATGGATTTTTGGGGTGGGAATGGCTGGGAGGCCTGGGAAGCACCAGGCTGGCACCACGGAGTGGCTGAACATCGTGGCACACTGCCTTTAGAGCCAAGGTTTATTTTCCTGGACTCTCCTTGGGATCACAGCAGGGTTAAAGTGCAGGGGATGTGTCTGAAAAAGGTGTTTGAGGCTTTATCTCACCAAGTGATGGAGTTCAGCATGGCTGGGGAGGACCATGGCTTGCAGAGAGTGGGGAAGGGCATAAATAATTATAAATCCCTGCTTTTGAGGCTGGATCCTCGAGCATGGCCATGTGGCCTGCTGTATTCCAGGGAAAAGCTCCTTCCTGGGCACAGAATTCCACGAGGAACCCCTGCACTGTTTCCCATGAGGAGCTCTTCAGACTCAGCTGGAATCCAAGCTGAGTTTTCCCTGTCCTTTATCCAGCTGTAACACCCCACCCTTTTCAGTTCCACTTCCCTGGAGGCTGGATGATGCTGGGGGAGGTTTTGCCCTGGGACTGGGTTGCTCCTTGATGCAGGTTTTGAGTTTTTTAAGCGTTTATCAATAAATTGTAGGATGTGCTTCTGGATAAATGTTGCTTTATAAAGGTGAACTATCATATTTGCTGAAACCACAACTTCTGCAAACCCTCTTCAAGCTGTAGGGCTTGGAAAAAAACCCCACTGAGGATGCTGAAGGGGCTGTGGCATTTCAGTTGGAGTTTGTGGTGGCGTTTTGGGGAGCTCAGTTTTTTCTCTGGGTTGGAAAACAGATTTTTTCTGTGACAGAAACAACAGGGTCACTTGAACATTGTTTTTCTCTCTACCTGTTTTTTGTAGTTTTTGGTTTTAGTTAAAGGGAAATGTCACCTGTAGTGTGAAAGCATCATCTTAGTGTGAATGTAGTGGAAAAAAATCTAATTATCTTTTTGGGCAGATGGAAAACTGAGCTGAGTTTGAACCTTCTATAACAGATACAACTTGGGAATTAGTTATGTAGACATTCCTGGAGTGTGCATGGGTTTATTTGGACTTAACCATGGTGAGTGCTGATGTTTAGTCCCCAATTCTTTATTTAAAACCCCAAAATTCTGTTTTCTTCGCTGATTTTGAGCAAGATGCCCCTGTAAGGAGTTTGGTGCATTACAGGGATGTTGTTAATTTTGCTTAATTTCTGCTGGGGTCAGTCTGGAGGATTCTCTGAGGTTGAAGAGATTTGTTTCCTCCTGCTGGAAGGCTCCAGAAGTGGCTGGAAAGTGAAGATTATTCCATCACAGCTGCTCTCCTTTGTGTCACCCTGCTGCTTCCTTCTCTGCTGAGGAACCTTCCAGCCTCAAGAACTGGCATTTCCTGCCATGCCAGAGAATACCCCCCAAAAAAAATAAACCAGTGCTGTTCTAATCCATCATTCATCCTCCTCTTGGGGCTTTTCAGAGCTGTTGGTGGGCTTGGAGAGCTGCCCTGGGACAGGGACACGGGGCTGGGGCACCTCCAGCTGTGATAAAAGCAAAACCCCCGGAAAAACAAATTAAACTCTAGCAGAAGGGGGGAAAATCAGGTCAGTGTGGAGAAGAAGAAGTTTCTCAAGAAGTTTATTGGGAAAGCAGGGGTCGTTTCCCAGGTGAAATGAAGATTTTAAAATCAGTGAGCTCCTTTCACGCTGCCTCTGTGCCCTGCAAACACACACGTGGAAATGCTCTGGAGTTTTGGGTGTTGGAGGGATATTTAATGTGGATGTGGGAGATATTTAAGAGATATTTAAGCTGATTTACTTGTTCCATCTTGAGGGAAAGGTGTTCCTCTGCTGAGTGAAGGCAGCCAAGGTGCCTTTTTACAGCATCACAGAGGTTTTTAGAGATGATTTCCTTGGCTTTTAGAAGGCAGCACTTGGCTGGGATTGCTTGGAAAAGCGTCTGCGAGGGGAGAAGGACAAAACAGCTGTGTGTGAATGAAATAATGCTAAATATTAAACATTATTGGGTGACTTTTACTTTCTGTGGGTGCTTCCAGCTTCCCCCCAGGCCTGACTGGGGCTGTGGCAAAATCCTGTGCACAAATTATCATTTTTTTCCTCCAGCACCAAGCCCTAATTCTTGCCTGCCTGTCCCTTCGTGCAGATGTTCCTGCCTCTGCTTTATCTGGACAGCACCATCCAGTGCTCCTTTCATCCAAGTAGGGGGCCAGGAAAAAAAACAAAACAAAACAAAACAAACTCTGGTTCTGTGTATTCCAGACCTAACTTTTAAAATTCATGAGGCCTTGACAGTTTGTACTTACAGGTCAGGAAAACATCCGGTCTTTTTTTGGTTTTTTCCCAACCCCTTTTTTTAAATTATTATTTTTTTTGGTTTTTTTCTGCTGCTCCTGATCTCCCAAGTTTTTCTTCAGTTTGAGAAAGTTCTGCCTGGTTTTGGCTTTGTTGCTGTTTTTAGTGTTTGTGTGTGTGCTGCTGCTTGATTTCCTCCTCCTGGCTGGTGCTGGAAGCACCCAGGAGCCCCAAGGGAGGTTTTATTAATGGAATTCTTGATCTGGACCAGGAATACTCAAAATGTTACTGGCACGAGGCCAAGCTCCAAATTATCTTAATTCTTTTTGAAGTTTATGAGAATTTTTTCCTGGGAGAAAGGGCAGGGATGAGGCAGGACAACACAACCACATGAACTTGTCTTATTATTATTTATTGTTTGTTCTGAGCAAATGATGCATCTAATTAAAAAATGAGATTCCCTCCCCCAAACAACCCAAATGGTATTCCAATAAAATCATTGGATTTACAGCCTTTGTGGCTGGAGGGGAAAATGAACTTCTGGTCTAACATCCTGTATGAAGGATGAAAATGGTGAAAATATGTATTTATGGCTCTGTGAGGACACCTGCACATCTTTCAGAGCTGCTGTTCAGCTCAGCTGTTATGTTTATTTTCACAAAACATCAAAACAAACTCTAAGGAATCCCAGTGTTTACCCTTTTATGCCTATTTTTAATATTTTGTGTGGAAAAAGAATTTTTACCAAAATACCAATGGCTTGGGAAAACTCTTTTGAATGCAAAAGATGATCATGAAAGATATTTGCCACTTAAATTAATGTTTATATAGACCAACAATATATCAGTGATGCTTTTTACGACCATTTCCTGAATTACAACCTGCAGTTGCCCAGAGCAGTGAGAAGCCAGGGATTTACAGGGCTTCTCTGTCCAAAACAGAGGCCAGAAATGGGTTTGGACCCCTCCAGCCACAGCTCTGACTGGGGTTTTTTTCCCATTTTCCCCTTAAGTGGGAAGGAGTAGGTAGATAATGAATCTGGAATTCATCTTGCATGTGACTGATAGGTATTCTTAGCTCTGAGGAGGTGGCTGTGCACAGCCCATCCCTCCCCATACCTAGAGCTGCTTTTGGGTTGCTTTATTTCAATTTTAATATCTTTTTCTCTTTTTTTTTTTTTTTTTTCTTTTCCCCCCATGGGAATTGTCAAGGGGGGTAAAGTGAAGGGCTTGTCCATGCAGCTGGCACAGCTGGATCAGGCAGAATCTGGGATTGGGAATACCTGAGGGGGGGTGAGCCACAATCCCTGTGAGCTCCTGCTGGGAGGATTTTGGACAGCACATTCCAGAGGTGGCCAGCCAGACATTTAAACAAACACCTCCCCAGCAATCCTTTGATAATTTCCCCACCCCTCATATTATTTGGATAAAAAAAGAAAAAGAAAAAGTGCATGACTGCTTATCTCTTAATACCTTTCTTGCCTGAGCTTTGATTTCCAAACATGTGACTCTGCAGCATTAGTCTGTCCTAGATTTGTCGAGCTTGCAGGTCTCCTGACCCATTTTACAGCATTTGTGATTTGCCTCCCTCCTTGACAAACCTGCAGGCCACAGTAGCAAAGCTCCTGCTGGGGAAAAGCCCAGCCCAAAGCCCAGCCCAAAGCCAGGCCCAAGCTGCTGGAGGTGGGACCTGAGAAGGGCTGAGTCTGCATGGGGTGAGATTTGAAGGTGTTTTTTCCATGCTGTCTGTCGTGGGGAAAGGTCTGTGCCCAATTTTATGGTTAAATGACTGCATTTTTTGGCTTTGTTGCCCAAAAAATGCATTGCAAAGTTGTTGTGGGAGCAAATTCCCAAGGCAGGGATTTGGGATCTCCCCACCTGCCCTGGGGCTCTCCTGCAGAATTCCCCATTTCAGTGTTCCTTCCTCAATTTCTCAATTTCAGCCCAAGATGCTGTTTCATTTCACCTGCCCTGAAATGATCCAGACCCTCCAAAAGTGATTTTCTGCTGAGTTCAGAAGTGGAACTTCACTGTTCTTCATCTCTTCTGGGTTTGGGAGAGTCAGAATAAAAAAAAAATCTGTATTGTTATTAGGGCCAGTAGGAAAGCAAAGAAGCACACTTGTTACTTTCCAAAGGGGATCAGGATGCCAATGTTTCCTTGGAAAAACGTCTCTGAGAGCTTTGCAAACCAGG